AATTTATACCGTTTTATTTGCATTCTACCCTACCACTAATTGTTTTGAACGTAACTTCAAGAAAAGCAAGTGAAGAAAATATTGGGGAGGGGGGGATTAGTTAAGACATCGTTAAAACAGCTGCCGAGCTACACTGCAACAAATTGAATACATAAAACAGTCGTTGAATACAGTACAGTATGCTAATAGAATGTCAAATGTCAGGCAGACAAATACTGTGTTCAGAGGATGTTATGTATTACTGCGGACCGACTTACGTTGCATTAACTTCTGAGGTGTTTTCATTTGATGTCGTGGTCTAGTCCAAGGGCAACGAGAGGGCAGCTGAGATTAAAATAATCGATTTCATACATCGGGGAAAATAACAATAAAGATATTTTTATCTTTAAATCTAGTTTATACGAAAACTTTTAACATTTTGATATGAGTTAAAATACAAATGCTGAAATAAAATGTATAAATTGTTAGTATAAATAAATATTCCCGTCAACTTTAGGTACTAAGTAATCAATCGGCCCACTGTCGCCCACTTCTACTCTGTCAAAACAGTGAATTAACACGAGATGGCACTCTCTGAGCTCAACAAATTTTCATACGAATCGGCCAATGGCCTAACGCCATTATAGGTAGGATAGATGCGCGCGCATGCACACACATGAACATGAAGATACCCCCAGTCTCTCTCCCTTATAAAACCACCTGTCACTTGCTTGGACAACAATACAAATTACTACAACATGTCAAACACGACCTGAAAAATTAAACAACATGGCCAACAACATATCTTAGCCTTGGCCTTCGAATATTCGAACGTAACCAATATCTACATTCCGATGAGTACCGGTTGAGTCGACAGCCCACTGAATATATATTACGTTATTACACATGTGAAGAGCTTATGTAATAACAGGGCCTGCCAAGTAAAAAAAAAATTCCCGTGCAGTTCCGCAGGGTTGGAAACTTATACGAACAACAATTATCTGCATGAAGATTTCTGTCTTCTGGGTTGTTGCGCTGTGTAGTCTGGTCGATGTTTACCAACGTTTCAGAGGTCATACTGCCTCCATCATCAGGGCGATGAATCGACTACACAACGCAACAACCCAGAAGACAGAAATCTTCATACAAACCGCACTGAAAACCTTAAATCTTACATAATTATCTGCATGTTGATCATTTCCCTATTTGAAAACTGTTTTAAATTGATAAGCGCCAGGGTTCTCTCTTTACAATCACACATAAAACGGGCTTCAATACAACCCGAGGGGCTCTTCACGCGGGGGTACGGTAGGACTGAGAAGGAATATACCCAAGAACTTCTCCCGTATTACCACATAACCTATAAACGTTCATGATAGTTTAGTGCATAATGCATAGGCGTAGTGGTATACTTATACAACCTTTCCGAATTGTTTCCAATGCTTTGAAGATCGTAAAACTGTACACACTTACGCAAAGCGTTTCACAAATTCCTGAACAAAGACCAGATGAGGATGAGTGGGCTGTGTCGTTAAATAACGACTGAATAGAAATATGTTTTTCTTCTGCTTTCATGTACCTAAACCGATTTGTAATTAATACTTAAACAGTGAAACATTTATACGTTTGGTATTACATCTTGAAGAAATATCAGGTCCTTGACGAATATGAACCATGCATTTATACAATTCACTCTATACATCAATATCCAAAATATAAACTACAAACTACGTTTAATTTCCACAACATTTTTAATACCTTGATTACTTGTTAACTTTAATGTAGTGTTTCTTTCTGTTTATTAAGATTATTTGCGTAATTTAAAGTACACTCGAGGCTTCTGTCAGACTAGAAGAGCTCGCATGTATTTTATTTATTTTGTGTTCTGTCTGACGATAGGTCCATATGAACAGGATCCTTCCATCCTTTTCTCGGACTGGGACCTGTTCATATACGTTCTTGGCAGATGATTCAGAAGTGGTTTGCCATTGCCTTCTTCTGTGTGTGAATGGAGTAATTGTTGGGATGCCACGGAGAAACCGGGGAAGAAGCCCCCGGAGGAAAACTCCGTGTTGCCTAGACCACGGCCTTGTCCAACACAAGTTATAAATTCGGGTACCGCCGGGAATCGAACCCGAGACCCCAGGATTACAAGGCCAGCGTTCTAACCGCTAGACCACCGTGGCCTCTGCTCGCATGTAGTTAACATTAAAGTTTAAATGACAAGTTTTGCATTTACTGCCGAGTAAAATTTGGTGAATTCGTATCATTCTAAGAATATACGCCTCTTCTGTAAAGCAAGAGCTACACCGAAGAAAAACTACAGACTCGTTTGAGAGCTGTGTCTTCTGGTGTTGGCTGTTTCGTCTCTTCGGTTCAGACTGTCAGATTAAAAGACATATTTCCCAAATGAGTCTTGTCATCCTAAGTGAAGATCCTGTCTTACATTGGTGTACACCCCTGAATTCACCGCGGGTCTCCGAAGAGCATAGCCAATCATTTTGTCTCCCGCCATCTGCATCTTGGCAGATTTCCCAAGGGCATTTAAGCAGGAAGCAATAGCAGAGGTGATTTTTGTACCTGTTTCATTCCCACTGGTTGCTGTGTTTCTTTTTTATTCTACGTTAGCACTCGTCTACGTAACGTAAACATCTGTTCATTCGCGTATCGCTTAGTACCAAGGGCTGTGATCTATAACGCCGTGTAGACATCTAAGCGCTTATCAACATTTTAGAAGGACCCGCGTCATAACCTAGATAATCATGATTCTAATGTTCGCCGCTCTAAAAACCTCAATACCCAATCAATTACTATTTAAAATAACAGCGCACCTTGCATTTACTTGTGGGCTGCAGCGGTTAAATGCCAGTTCTGTGGCAGATTTTTAAACCCCAAGGGGGCCTTTTTTTTTAAATTCGTGAACAAAACATAAACCACGGCCTAGTAGATCGGCAGACGCGATATCCAGAAATCAAATATCGTTGTTGCCATATCGATTCCTTTCAGCATTCAGTCCCCCTCCAAATTCTCAAAATTCCCGGCGGTGCCCGAATTTATAACTTGTGTTGGGCAAGGCCGTGGTCTAGGCAACACGGAGTTTTCCTCCGGGGGCTTCCCCGGTTTCTCCGTGGCATCCCAACAATTACTCCATTCACACACAGAAGAAGGCAATGGCAAACCACTTCTGGATCATCTGCCAAGAACGTATATGAACAGGTCCCAGTCCGAGAAAAGGATGGAAAGATCCTGTTCATATGGACCTGTCGTCAGACAGAACACTACAAAAAAAATGACAACATATTCAATAAACTGAAAGAAACCTATACAAGATAAAACAAGAGGGGGAAAAGGGACCATGAATTCAAATGGTATTTCACTGCACATATCCCTTGATTTACGAACGTCCAATTTACAATTTTTCGATACATCGAACCATGTAAATTTGTGGCTGTTTTTCAATTTACGAACTTTATTTTCGTTATAGCAAAGAACCAATTAATTTCTTACCAATGATTCTTTGTGATTATTATAGGCCAACTACAGTAATTAAGGTCTTCATAAAGACAACTTCGTTCACGTAAGTTCTGATGTTTATACCTAACTGCAGTAGGTACTGTACAATGTAAAGGTTTAATTTAATACCTCAGTAGTGCTTTACAGGGTTAAATAGGTAATAACTACCATAAAAAGTAATTCTGTTCCATTTTTAACTCTAAAATTTTCTAACACTAGAGCAAAGCGCTCCTTTCGGAGCTCCTTTAGAGAGAGGCGTTAAAGTCGTGACTGTTCTGCCTCCTGTAGGGAAGAAAATGAACTCAAGTTGCCAAGTAAAGAAATGACGCGAGTGGATTGCGCTAAATAAATGTTTGTAGAACCTAAACCATTTGTGATATGTAAAATCTGAAAACAGATATGGAAAGCTCAAGAGGTAATACGTATTTCGTACGCAATATGTCCAGATCCATCTGTTGCGGTTTTCGAGAGGCGGGCGCTTAACGCCGCCAGATGCATTGAAAATTGCACACATTGGTTCATTAAAATTACAATAAATATATAAACAATTATAATTACAACAAAATACATTACAGATTCTTAAAGGTCTTTATTTACTGATCATTTTACATATAGGTTACATTACCCTTACTCTTACCATTCCTGAGGAATGAACATTTAAAAGTGACTTGGCTATGGATAACGCTGTTTGATGACGTCATTTCTTGAAGACAACGAGGAATCAGAAATTTTTATAGTAAGATATCTGGACCAAAATACTGGGTGATTTCTCTGGCTGTCAGGAACTGGTGAGAATTTTTTTTACATTGAAATTAATGTGAATTTCCTTACGAACAGTTTTCATCGAACGAATTACGTCTGTAAATACATAATGGGTAAATTATGAACATGCATAGTTCTGCTTGTTTGTCACAGTAAAACTTAAGTCAGCGCTAATGAGATAAATTCTGAACGGACTGTATTGTTAATATTCTGGTATTGTAATTTCGTTTGAGCTACGTACAAAGAATAGCGGCCCTTCGAAACATAAAGATCGCCTAAGTAATTTATAATAAAATTATCTTCTTACCTTAAAACACATCATTGGTCAACGCTGTTTACGAAAGTGGTCAGTTTATTGTGAGACTCATACGAAACACATCTTGTCCAGGACAAAGTTTACTAGCGGCCTCTTCTGAACACGGAAACGAAGATGTGTATTCACAAAATTCCGGGAATTTATTGATCAGTTTATCAATTATAAGTTTCTCAAACGCAGTCTCCTCCGCGTTATAATTCGTGACTATATGGTACAAGACATCTGCTATCGGTAATCTCTGTAATCGGTACTGCATTGTGTAAACACCAAAGCCACAGAGGAATGAAAATCATCATGTTTGAGAACATTGTACTCCAACTGGGGTACACATTTCTCGGTTTATTGTTCTAAAATGGCAGCTATGATACGGCGGAGTACAGCGAGACAGAGTAAGACCACGACGGGAGAATAAACAGACGTGTTTACTTACTTGGACCGCGCTATTAAGGAAGCAATTGTTCTGTCCTGGGCCGTTCAGAAGCCCTTTGGTGCTGGTGAAGGAAACCACAGACTCCCTGGAAGGCGCCATGTTCATCAGAGAATTGTACTTTGCTGACGTCACGTCCACCAAGTTACTGTTCTTGTACTTGTGCAATGTTCCATGACGCTGTTCCAATGCTGAAGTCATTCTGGAGTTACGTAACTCGGGCCATCTTCTGGAACATAACATTAAAACGGGTGCAATTAGCAAACTCAATGACAATTTTTAACTTGGAAAATATAAGTCATTTACTCCTGTGATATAAGTAGATTTCTGACTCAAAATTATAATGTATATAATATACATATCCGGTCATGAAAACTAGCAATGGCTGGGGGTTCGTCGTTCTGACCACACGTCATCCTATATCTGGTTGCATGATCGTGAACGTGAGGCCAGCAGCCAGATAGTCGGCTTTGGCTCTCTAGAGCTGTTACGCCACGGATTATATAATATACATATGATAGTTTAAATTAAAGGAGCAAATAATCTACGATACAGCTCTTGTTATTTAGCAAAATAATTTTACTGTCTTGCAGATACCTCAGTCTGTCAGACAGAGTAACTGACGAGCATAAGGCCGACTTGGTTTCAAACCTCTCAGTAGAACAAGGAGATTCCAAGTGTTCAACATAAGAATTCTGGGTAACCTGTATGAATTATGTTGGCTACAAGATAACCCTAAATATTCATGAAGTAAATAACAGATACAATGGGCGTAGATGTACTTGTCCTAATATTTTCAACATACCAAGCTTTTTTTTAAAAAAAATATTTCGTCGCTACTGGACCCAAGGTTCGCGGGTTCAATCCCGGCTGAGATCGGTGAATTTTTAAGGGTGATAAAAATCCGTAGCACAACTTCCTTCGGAGGGGAAGTAATGCCGGCGGTCCCATGTCGTAGATTTACGGCACGTAAAAGAACCTTACGTGCATGATACGAGATGTTTCGTAAGCAAAATTCAGCGGCCATTTCTCACCCAAGTCTCTCCTGATTCACTACTAGATGGCTCTGGCAGTCAAATCAGGATTGAGTAGAAATTGTGCAGAGTCAGTGGGCTGGTCACTCACTACTCTTAAATGCACACTTCAAGACCAAGAAACCTCCGAAAAGAGAGGAAGAAAGCAGACCCTGCCAAAGCGGGACAAATACTAAAGAAAAAGAAGAGTTTCAAACATATTTCGTCTTATTTAACGACGCATCATCAACTGTGACAACTGTCACGATGCGAAGACAGAAAATTACTGTGGCGGAAACAGAAACATTCCTAGAGGGGTGCGGGGTGACGACGTCTATACGGTGCCCTTCAACAGAATTTCCAGGTGCACAAGAAATAAGCAAATAAAAGAAAAACAAAAGAAAAGCGGAAACCAGTAAGTTGAATATCACTGGGGCAAAACTGTACCTTTATTAAGAATCGCAGTCCTATATCTGTTACAAAGAAATTAATAGGCTATACTTTGACATGATTTATGTTACGTGTTTACGTCTTGGGCGAAGAATTTCGTACATAGTAAAGCGGATGATCGTGGTCCACCGAAGCGGGAAGAGAAAGGGGGCGACCACCCCGCCCTAAGAACGGCCCAGAGAGGAAGCACCTCGACCTATGTTAAGATACGACCAATACACCTAGTACATTTCCAAGTGTCACTATCATCCTATCACTCGATGATATAGGCTACCTGCAGAATAACATAACACAGTTGAACACTGGCGGTTAAATAACCAAAAATTCAATCTAAATCATTAACCGTAGTCGTATTTTCAAGATTGTATTTGAATAAAACCGCCTAATTTTCACAAAACGTCGTTAAATAAGTCAAGGAACGAAGAAGTAACCAATAACAATATCATTCGTACATTCGAGAACTGCAATTGTGTTCCATTACTGCACACAGCGCATTGAAGTCACTACACACACAGCACAATGCTTATGTCAAAAGCCGCTATACTTAAGAATGCATATTTTGTGTGTTCAGGTGAATTACGAAGATTTTTTAAGCAGAGAGGCCAAACTGAATACACCAATGAACAACGAGAAGTCATGAGCACATAGTATCATGACAATAGAAGTTCAAGGTGATTTGCAAGAAAGACCACCAACAAAGCTGACAAAAATCAGCTGGAAAAGGAAAATGTTTTCATCTGAACGACCATTCACACGTGGGGAAGTGTCATGAATTTGAGGCGTCTCTGGTACGCCCGCCAAAGAAGTCTCTTCGCAAACGATCCTGAGGACTTTGGATACCTGACACGACAATTCGTAGCGAAATCAAACATGACCTTGGGTGAACGAACTGAGTGACAGCGACATGCAACGGAGACTATTCTCAATATTACCCGATGTTCAATGGTGTGTACAGACTGATAAGCCATATTAAAAAAAATCTACAAAATTCACCTGAACACAGAAAAACAAGCATTAGCAACTTGTAACACAAGAATTATTCCAAGTACAGTGACTCTGACGCAACCTACGAAGTCTATTGTTCAGGATTGCTAAAGGCGAAGTTTGTCTTTGTACAAATCTGACAAGTGAACCGAAGTAACGTGACGTCAGCAGCATCGGAGAGCCAAGTGCTTCCAGACAAGTACGAAGGCTATCCACAGAAATTAACATACTTGTGATTCACGGTATCCAAAACGGGACAGGCGCCCTCCAGCTTTAAAAGTAAGACAGGAAAGGTGGGCGTGTAGCTGTTTAGTTCGTAAAGTGTTACCAACTACTGACAAGGCAGGACAGCTCACTTAACGAACTGAAAACTAACTAAATAATCTAGTCTATATACACAGAATTTGACAGGGAAATTAAAACAGTGAGCGAATACGATCACTCATTCAATTCATACCATGATGACCAGGGTTACGATCGGTGCGAAATTACGCTGTTTCGATGTCATTAACACGTATTAATATATTTTATCGCGTTGTAGAACGTTCACAGTAAGCCATGAGAATGTAAACGGTATTTTGTCCCAATGCATTGTTTCCATTCTGTGAATGTTGATAATATTTGGATGTCAATAAGTGAGATTAATGTTCATCGTGGTATGCAAATTAGTTAAAAGACGCCCACATAGATCAGTCAAGTAAAAGTGTCCAAGGGTCCTGAAACTAACAAGACAAGACCAATGAACATATGATGAGTATTTATAATGACGGCAAAGTGCAGGCTTAAGGCTGTTTGAAGTCACGTCTCCATGAAGATCATGACAACTTTCAGGTTTTACATGAAACCACCTATAAACTTTCAGGTTTTACACGACACCACCTATAAACTTTCAGGTTTTACATGAAACTACCTCTGAACTTCCAGGTTTTACACGACACTGCCTCTAAACTTTCAGGTTTTACATGACACCACCTCTAAACTAATTTTGAATCTGCTATGAAATTTAGACGTCGAACTCGCGCATTGGCATCATCTTGATATGGCTCCACGGAAAGCAGAATAAAAATATTTCGTCTCTGAAATAATAAGTAAAATATTGAATCTATTTCTGTGAATCACCCTGTGTATTTGGGTGTTGTCGGAAGCGAAAGGTGCGGTCTGGATGTTATATTAGGCCTGCATATTGCTATGGAACTGCCTTCTTTCATCAATAGGAGGCAGTTTAAAACCTGTGTGGGACTACGCATATATGAGCAGTATGGAAATCTGTCGATAACTAGGCAGACACCGTGCAACAAGGGACTTTATTCCAAACACATACCTGCTTCCAGTCTGGGAGATTACGTGTTCGAATTTCTAACCTGATCCGAAAGTCTATCTTGGTGTATAAGATGTTGGGGAATTGACTGCAAAACTGAGGAAATCCACGATAAACATCAGTCAAGAATATTAGTTCCCAGCTAGTTTCGAACCCGGCACAGGTCAGATGCGTTAACGCCAGGTATCAATGATGCATGAGGATTTTAATGTGTGGACTCCGAACAAAAGGCCTTCAGAAAATAAAGAATTTCAACCACAGTCGTCGACCATAAAACCCATAGCTTAGGAGGAAAACAAAGGGACCTCAAGTGGTTGTGGGTTGTCCCAAGGCAACCCCACTGACAGTTGGCTTAGGAAATGTGACGCAATGCTAATCAGCTCCTAGTTTATGGTCAGCACGGCAAGCGCCGAGATTTTGCGTTGTTTTGTATGAGAAAGGAAATGATTCATACAGTTCATCTCTACGTACACGATGGAAAAAACTCAATTTGATATGTAGATATTAACAGCAGCCATATGATTGTTTTAAATAACTTTAATGAAAGAATGCAAGTCTTGTTGATGGGTCAAAAACTGAGAATAGATTGCTTATTTTCTCTTTATCATTTTTGTATTACATAAATTCGTTTTATTATATTTCTTCCTAAAATATGAAACATAATTTCTTTAATTTTTAAGAAATATGAAAAATAATTTACGACATTAAGTAACGTATTCAAAGAAAATTACAATTTTACTAGCAAATATCTATTTTGTAACATTAACTGTAGTTGTAAAAATACTGTTAATATTTCAAACAAAAACAGTAAGAATGATCAATCCATATGTAGATTAATTTTTCGAGGAACATTAACATAGTTAGCCAACCCAATAATGCGATACGCTTAAACGATTAACGACTACGCTAAATGAAGCACGAAGTGATTTAATCGTGCATGAACACTGACCATATCAATATCCCTAAATGTTACAGTCAAACGTTGTACAGAGAAAAAATGTTTTATGTTTATACGCTGAAGAACTTTAAGCAAGTAGTTCTAGAGTAAAGCAAGGAGCTTCCCAATTTGTACTGTCTACTTAACTAGGATGATTAAACGTAAAAATTGACGATCACGGTGCTAATAATGTGAACAAAATTTCAGTTTCAGAATTTCGTGAAAAAGACCACCTTGGCGACCGAAGATTAAAGTGGATCTCCTAGAAACATACCTTAAAATTATAAACGTAATTGAACTCACTGAAAATATAATCCAAATTAAACCTTTTATGGTGTCTTTGTAACCAAACCCTCTCACATCAAGTTAAACTTCCCTCGGCCAGTAAGATCTGTCGCTCAAAGACAGCTTCCTTGGAAAACCCCCGAAACACCTCGTTTCATAAATATATTGTGCTCGTTCATTTAGAATGTCTCACCGTTGGATCTCTGCATATAATTACGTAATTAAACACTAAAATATTATTA